GTGTTAGACCGCCGTGCGTGCACGGCGTGAGCAAATCTAGTATATATATATATATATATATATGAGATTATATGAGAAATGAGGTTAGTGAAAGAAATAAGAATGAATCTATACCATTGGATATATTATATTAATGGTTATGATGAAGTCAAAATTTAATAAACATGGCCAAATACATGATGGCAATATCGTAAATACGTAGATATATGTTGGTAAAATATATACCATTTACCACTAGTTAAGGGTAAATTTGTCAACACATCAAATATCTCTCCCAGTGGGTCCCACCACAACCAACCACCCTAATATCTCTCTCCCATCAAATACACCCACACGCACTCAACACGCGCACATACACCAACACACACACACACACACACACACCACCGTCTGCCACCTGTGAGCTGCCGCCCTCACGCCGCCTGGAAATTAATCTCTATCACGCACTGACACATTAAACACACACACACAAACAAAAAATAAAACGGGCTACACACACAACACAAAGTGCCCACAATTCATTGTTGTCGGTGACCCTCGACATCTGCCACCAAACCGCCGCCGAAAAAGTCCTGCCGGTCCCATCGTTGCCAACATTCAGACCAGATCCGCCACAGCCCCACACCGGTCACAGCATCCCCGACCACATGCTTCAACAATTTTTTTTTTTTCTGGAGACTCATACTCTTGAACACACCCACCTCTCTGTTGTCGTCTTCACCGACGTACACGCTATCCAACATGTCCGACCACCTGCCTCAGACTGCATCGACAAAATTTTATTCATATTCAGACAGCGACGACGCAACCAGTCGTCGGGGCTATGTTCAAAATTGTTCTCCAGCAGCGTATAACCGGTAGTCGTGGATGGGTAGTCAGCCGACGGTTGACGGGTGAGGTGAATGGTGTGTCAGTGGTATACATGAGTTGGGCCTCCATTTGAGAATTTGATGTCCTATGGTGTAACTGCAATTTTAGAAATTTTAATAAATTTCAATTTTGTAGATGGATCGAATGTATAATTTATAAAAAATATATTGAATGCATTGTAATGA